TGGGCCCCACATTTCCCCCCCCCCCCCCAGTATTTTACTGCTCATTAAAAGACTGCAATACAATGCTGGAACTGAATGATTAGAATCCTGTTCTACAGCCACTCCGTTTTGCTTAGTACTGGGATAGTCTTACTGAAAACATTAACCCCCATGTAACGTTTTTCCATACAAGGTCGTAAATTTATAACTATTTGTCAGTTTATGATCATTGATTACTAAGGAAGGCATTATCTTCTAATGATACATACTCAGCTTGCCCTAGATATGTGTACTGATTTTTGTTTAAAGATTGTGAATGTATACCCATTTGAAGAGTTAGTACAAATAAAGGTTTTTGTCCTGGGGAATCACTTTGGTTTCTGTTGTCTCATTATATACGACTTGCTATTAATATTTTATTCACTTGATGGAGTGTAGGTTTTTATGAATCTGGTATTAAATTATAGCAGACATGTGATTGCCATGCAAGAACTGAAATTTTGAAAAGCGCTATTTGAAATCCAAATGTCAGCAGTTTCATTTCTGTCCACTAGCGAGACAATTTCAATGAAACGGTGTCTTTAACAGGTTCTTGTCTGCAGTTCCTTGAGTTGCCGTGTGAGCCACTGGAGGGCACTGGTGGGTAAGTGACCAGTTCCAGTGGCTTGCCTCGCAGTTACTTTCCTTCCCGTTTGTTTCTGAATTTCCTTAGGTTCTTGTATGACTGCAACTATCTTACACTGTGTTCCTTGTATTTGGAGACGGCTATAGTTCAGCACTGGAAGTGAGAGAAGGAGCTTCCTGTAAAAAAACCCAACACCTTGTTACCTCTGCCTGAGGCCCCTGTCTTGCCTGTTGTCTTGTACTGGGAGGGTCCAAGACAACAGCCACTGCCTCAGCTCTTGGACAGTGTGGTCTGTGAGATTTTTCAGCATACTGGGGTTCCAGTAAGATGCATCTAGCAGTGCTTTTTTCTGATTCATCTGGAATTGCAAGAGCCTGGAAAATTGTTTGTGCTCAATTTTGTCAGTTTTTACATCAGCAAAAGGGTGGGAGGTGTCCCAAGTGTTTAAGCAGAGAAAGGAAAGTCTACTACCCCATTGTGGTACACTGTACTGTAAAAGAAATGGGGGTTTTGGTGAACAGAATAATGCACTGTCTACCTGAAAGCCTCAAAGCATTTAATAAAATGAGAGCAATATCCTAATTCCTTAATTTACAAGTAGGGATCATGAAGATAGGTAAAGAGGGTTACCCAGTAAACCTGGGACTGGATCCATTTTATTCCTAAATGCAGAATTTCAACCATTAAGTCATTTCTCATCACACTTTTAGCTCAAAATTGTATTTATTTTAAGGGTGCATGAAATCAACTAGTAGAATAAATATGCAGGTATCTAAAGCATACTTTCCAAAGGGCCTTTAAATCTAGTAAGTTTGAGTCAACAGGAAAGCAAAAACCTTCACGAAAGAATTAGGATGGAAATGTTTCTTTGTTTCTTTTATATGGGCGTTACCTTTCTGAAGGCATGGTGCTTTTTCACTGAATCAGTGCTTACAGCTTGGGTGTCTTTGACTGTAAATAACACCCAAGCTGGCCTTGAGGTAGAGGAAACACGGCAAGCAAAAGTCAGTTTCCAGTGGTCTGTGCTGATACTTCTTTGTAATGCTCCCACCCTGAAGTTCATTGTAAGGCTGGGGTTTTATGAATTAAGTATATAGGTAGTATAGGGGCTGGTTAATGGTAAAATAAGTGTCCTGGAACATGTAGAACTTACTATTATTAGAAAGCATATAAGTATTTATCTTCTGCCTGTCTCCTGGACACATGGATTTTTCTGCTGTGATTTGCCATAAGCTGATAGAAATCTGAGCACTAAAAGGTAACAATTCTCTCGTGAATAACGGATGAGAAGAGTATCTGCCTTCAATCCCAGCATGCCCAAAGCAGAGGTTTTAGCACTCAAACTAAGTGAAACCTACCTCTCTCACCAATCTGTTCTAACTTGATTTTGAACTCCTGTCAATATGCTTTGGGTAGGGACTTTCAGATACTCTCCAGCTGTCAGCCTAGTCCTGCTTGCATTGAAAGCAATTGTAGAACTGGATTTTAAGAGAACAATAGGGTGATGCCCAGCAGAATGGTGTCTCTGTTGGACTTCCCCATGTCCAAACTGATTTTACCTATTTGTTACATTTACCTACTACCTATGGTGCCATTTTAGAGAGATATTGGTAAGGGTATTTGTAGGGACCATTGGGAACTGTATGTTGATTATTTCAGTAAGTCACTAGAAACCGCAGGAATTACTGTGTTTTAATTGTATGTCCTTCTTGTAATTCATGCTGGAGGAATCTGAGAATAATAAATGAAGCACAGGTCTGCTCTGTGAGCAATCTCACTTGTTTAGGTGGGGGTAACTGCCCAGGACTGCTCAGTATAATCCATTATTATGCTCTCTGATGTTAGTGCTGCCTGTTG